CAAAGTTGCTGGAAAAGCTCAGCAGGTCTGGCAGCATCGTGAAGGAACAAAGAGTTAACGTTTCAGGTCCAGTGACCCTTCCTGTTCTGAGGAAGGGTCACCGGACCCAAAACGTTAACTCTGTTTTCTCCTTCACAGATGCTGCCAGACCTGCTGAGCTTTTCCAGCAACTTTGTTTTTGCACCAGGAATAACCTGTGTTTTCGATATATTGCCAAGCGATCTTTTAAATCCACCAGAACTCTGTCCATACTGTGCTCTAGAGTCAGTTGTTTTATGTATGTCTTTTAAATATGTAGAGAAAGTTGAAGAGGCTGTCTCTGTGTCTGTTGGTTGGATTTTTGTTGGAGCTTAGCTGCTAATGTTATAAAAGAACGCAACCTGCAACTTGCCACAAATAACCCTTGGAAATTAGTAATTGTTATTTACAAGAATACCAAATTTTCCTTTTAATTTGATCATCATTTTGTAATTTTGAAAAATTAGTATTTGCCTTCCCCCAATATTCTATTGTCTACATTACGGTTCGTATCTAATACACGATCCACGTTTAAGTATATGGTGAATTTTTCTTGTCAATTAGATTGATTGGGTGAGGAAATAGTGTGGTCATCTCTTTCTTTCCCCACGCCCACTCCTTCCCTTTGCAAAATTGGAAATGGAAAGTCTATGGACTTGCCTTTGGACATACCATGGCAGCTAGTTTAATCAGAGGGTGCAGTGTGAAAAGGGTAGAGGGAAAAAGAGTTTTCTTTCAATTGAATAAATTATTTATTCTTTTTTAAGGGCATTTGGAGAAAAAACTAGCCCACCTGTGATTCCCCACATGTACCATGACCCTGGGGGGATTAGAGATCAGTTGGAGGAGGAGGAAGAGGGAGAAGGGGAAAAGAAGGAAGAAGTGACTGCTGATGCAGATGGTATTGAGAACGTGACTGCAGAGCTGGACAGTTTAGAGAAGGATACACCTGACTTGCATAGTCTTTGTCTGAACGTGGGCACTGAATCAGAACACACCTCTTCAGCAACTGTTCAAGTGAGCGACCGAGAGACTTATGACGGCGAGATTGTTGATCTGAAAGAAGTAACAGAAGACAGCGAAAAACACCAGGACCCTGAGAATGATCATAACACTACAAAAATCATTGGGACTGTACAAGGTAGGAAGGAGTTTTTTTTTAAGAAAGATGTATTATCAAACACTTGGGTTACAATGTAAACGAGAACTTGTTGAGAAATTGTACCTGGTTCAGGCTTTTAAAAAGATACCCATTTAGATTCTCATTCCTTGCGTAAAATTTAACAAATTTTGAAATTCCACATAACCAGGGGAGATGGTAATGTAGTGGTAAATGTTACTAGACTAGTAGTCCAGAAACCCATGCTAATGCTGTGAGGTTCACAACCTGGCATCTGGTGGAATTTACATTGTTAGTAAATCTGGAATAAAAGTTCATTTTGGTGACGGTCAAACTATCATTAATTATCATAAAAGCCCCACCTCATTCAGTAATGTCCTTTCAGAAAGAAAATATGCCATCTTGCCTGGTCTGGCCTACCTGTGACTCCAGACACTTGGCTGCGTACTTGACTGTAGCCTGCCCACTGAATGTCAATGGAGCCACTCAGTTCAAGCACAATCAAGGATAAGTGACAGATCCTAGCCTCCCCGATGATGTCCACTAAAAAGTGATGTATTCTTTTTAATGAGTTACCCAATAAAGTTTTTAAGAAGCTACCTAATAATTTCAAACAATGCATATCTGGGCAGCAGTAGGAGGTAGATGTTAAAGTCAAATAATTTTAATAATTAACTTTGCATAGTCATGACACACTGAACTCTGAGGCCAATTTTCTTTTTTTCCCCACACCATTTGCAACTGTTTAAAAGAATCAGTAGATTCTTTCTTTGCACTTTTACTCCAAAATTAGAGGTACAAAAGTTGGTCATTTTCAAAGACAACTTTGTGTTCCATTTTGAAAAAAAGACATCTTGCAGTGGTCAGTTTAATTTTGCATAACTAGCTTTTATTTTTATTTATATTTTATTTTTGTGAAAAGAAGGATGTATTTTAAAACTTAGTCAATTTAAAATGTAATCATCATTTAATGCATGAAAGACTGATTTGTTGAAAAATTTGTATTAAACAAATGATATGAAAATTTGGAATTAAATTTAAAAATTGAATGATAGGCAAACTTAAACTGAACAAGGTTGGTATGAGTAAGCTATTGTGTTGTTTAAAGCTGCAAGACGTATTCTTCCAAAATGCAAGTAAGTTTGAATACTTGAGAAAGAATTTAAATATTAAAAGGGTTCAAATAGAATAACATGGTTATCTAGGAAAAAAATGAAAGGTGTTCTAAATTTCAAGGGAAAGGTGCAAGTAGTAAAAGCTAGGATGCCTCCTGTAGTGATGTAGCCAAATTAAACATTGGGCAATTGCCCATTTTCATTTTGTGCATTCGTTTTAATTCTGCCTGCTGAAACTTGGCAGCCACTGGAACTTGCAGTTGACTGATCTGTCAATTCAACTTAGTAGCACTCTGCTATTCTGTTGAATTCTGTAATGGGCAGTTGCATTTTTCAATGCAGCAAAATAGCTTCATTTTCCCCATCCTGTTTCTCTAGAGCAAATGGATGAGCTCCTTCTCCAGTGTTTCCTTCATGCTTTGAAGTTTAAAGTGAAGAAAGCAGATTTGCCTCTGCTCACAAGTACTTTTCTCAAGGTTCATGTATATCCCTGTTGGTAAGTGTAGTATTTTCAATCACAATTGTAATTGTTGGAGCTGTAGTGACACTGTACTTCTATTGAAGCTACAACTCCATTGGTAGGCTAGGGAAGGACTTGTTTACAAGGCATTGCATGAGCTTTTTGCTTCTAAAGGATCGAAGAAAATATATGAATGGATATCTTACATCGTTTTTTGTGCTCCTAGATTCTACCATTGATGTTAAAAGACTAGGACAAGAGGAGCCCAGCTAAAGATTTGATATTCATGTTCTGAACCTATTTTATGTGAAATGAACACGACTGCTTTAATTTTAAATAAGGTGCAGAGCTGGATGAACACAGCAGGCCAAGCAGCATCAGAGGAGCAGGAAGGCTGACGTTTCGGGCCTAGACCCTTCTTCAGAAAGATCCTCTGCTCCTCTGATGCTGCTTGGCCTGCTGTATTCATCCAGCTCTGCACCTTGTTATCTCAGATTCTCCAGCATCTGCAGTTCCTGCTATCTCTGCTTTAATTTTAAATTGATTATGCCTATTATTGGAACAGGACTTGCCACCTCAACATTGAAGAATAGTCCTGGAGCCCTTGTTCCATAGTCTGGCTAAATGCCCACTTAAAAAATTGAATAACTGAATGGTCATTCTGGACCAGGCTGCGGAAAAATCAAAGTGTATACAGGTGAATTGGAGAAATTCGCTGTTTGGGTACACTTATCTTAAACAGTGCTGACAGCCTTTTAAATGTTCAGAGCCATCATGAAAAAAAGTGTTTGTGCTGCTTTGTAATGAAACATGTTCTATAATGAAATTTGTTCTGAGCTGGATAATTATATCACTTTTCCTTAATGTCACCATGATGAAAACATGACACATCTCTTCTCACTTTCCCAATAAAAGATGATAAAGAAAAAAGATGTTTGAGCATTGTTGCTTTTAGTAAAGACTTGTACTAAGACTTTAGTAAAGACTATAAAGACTTGTGACAATTGGGCAGGCAATACTACTGGCGCCACGATGGAACCATTGACAGTACTAAGTGACTGTGTAGATAAAGGCCGATAATGCTGCCAGCCTCCAGGGAATTGACTTATATCTTCTGACTGCACCACACAAAAGAGCATCTCCATCACTCTAGCCAAATGTATTTTCTGCTTGACAAAGATGATCCATGGCTGATGAGAGCCCTTTTTTATTCTTAACTGTTACTCAGTTATATCCAAAACAATAATTTATGCAGAATTATTTTAACATTTTGTGCTGTTTTGTTCCTGCATAGCCCCGAAGGCCAACAATTAGATATCAAAAAATCAAGCTATAAAAAGGTAAGTTAATGGAGAGAAGTTTCATACAATGGCTAGACAAAGGAAATGCAGTATAAATTTTGTAGAATTCTAGAAATTGCACTACAGGAGACATATATTTGTTCAGTTGCTGCCAAGCTAGTCGTATGTGTTCATGTGGAGCTGTCTAATCTAATTCTATTTTCCTGTGTTTTCTTGTGTCCATCATGTTAAATATTTATCCACTTTTTTTAAAAATAAAATTTCCTCAATATTCAATTACAGGGGGTCCCCAATTTCCAAGCATCTGACTTATGAACCATGTTCCCGTTTAGGGGTGTGATTTTAAAGATCCGACGCAAAAATGTTTTCTATACATATGAATGGTTATTGTATATTGTCCTGTGTTGTATTCCAACTTGCAAATGGATTGAAGAATGTAACCCATTCACAGCCTGCAGACAGCCTGTGTAGTTATTTGGCAGTACACAAGTTGAATAATATTGAGAAAAGAGATATTCTATCAAAATTATCAGGGCAGACACCCGAATGCTAACGTTTAAAGGGAGCAACAATTAATGCTGTATGACAAAAGCATTCTGATTGATTAGCAAATCAACTTGGATTGTTCAAGGCAATACTATGGACAATGCATCAATGCATGAAACTATTGCTCTGCATTTTCATTTCAACCAATTTAAGATTATCAGCCAGGCTTGCAATGTGCCTCATTTGCATGTGCTAGAAGCCATGTATATTCATACATGTGTCCTCTGCAGACAGAAAGACCATGTCCAGGCATCATGCCTTTGAGAAGTAAACAAAAGTATGGGGGAGCAGTCGTGCCCTGCTGTGTTCACCATAGCAAAACCTTGAACAATCCAAGTAGACTTGCCGACCAAGTGGGACAAATCACAAGAATATCAATCTATAGGAGAAACACCATTTATACTGTATGAGAGGAAAGTGCTAATGGATTGATTGGCAAGTGGACTTCGATCGAAGGGATTGCCATGGAAAATGTACTGTTTAGCTAATGACCGACAGTTGACTGCATGCATTGTTTAACCTTTAAACAAATATCCCTTCAGCTGTTTGCAACAAGCAGGATGCTGGCCATACCCACAGGCCCATGCTTGCAAAACTCAAGCACAATGTCTAACATTAGATATAATTTCACGGATAGTCAACGTTTGCTAAATAATCCCGAGTATGTGAAGAATTACACTGATGGCCAATTTATAATTGTCTGTCGGGCTTAAAGTATGGCACGCCTGTGTACAGGAAGTTACATTTCTTAATACACAAGGCCCTTTTGATTTGCAGTCAGAAGGAACAATCTACACACTAGACCTGCTTCAACTCAACAAAATAGGTGACTACCGTTGCCTGGTTCATTTCTTTGGTCAAGACATTGCACTATCGGATTCAACTTGCCTGGTTTACAATTAACCAAAACTTGTCAGTCATCATCTAATTGGTGTATTATCCATGGTAATGTCTCTACCAATCAGAAACCATTAGCCGGTTAGTCAGTATTCTCCTCTCATACAGGATAAATATTTTTGCCACATGTTTGTATTCTTGCATATTATCTTGATGAGCGTAAAATGAAAAGTTTTGACAAAATGTCTTTTATCTGCAGTACTCAAGTTCTGTTCTGCCACACGACTGTTTGATTTGCTTAGGTGTTGAAATGATTTTGTTTCAATCTTGTCAGCTCTCCAAGTTTCTACAGACCATGCAGCAACGACAGATAATTCAGGTGAAGGAACTCTCAAAAGGAGTTGAAAGCATTACTGGTGTGAACTGGAAGCACGCAGAGTATGTATACAAAAACAAACACTTTTTGATGAGTAGTCCATACCAGAAAGAAAGTGTCTTAAGTTTCAAATGTTTCTGATTTGTAGACTGTGGTTCTGGATCTTGTTTGTGGAACAAGTATTGTGCAAACTCTGCTTTTCCTTTATTGTTCTGATGAGGAAAAAAAATGGATTGTGACAAAAATATCTTTTCTTACCAAAAATTAGTTTTTCAGTTGAGCAAAACTGAAAAACAATTGCACATTTCACTTTGGCTAAGATGGTAACAACCTACTGATACTTAATAGGTTCTGTACTTGCGCATGTAGTATTATGTTTTTACTGTCATAACATTATTCAAGAAATGCAGAGTAACAGTGAGCTGATGTTCAATGTCAAATAACTAATACTTGCAACAACACAAATTTTAGCTTTCTTTTTTACAGAAGATATGTGGCTGAAGTTTCGTCAGGGTTGTCATTTATAGAGCCATAGAGCTATAGAGCATGGAAACAGACTCTTCGTTCCAACATGTCCATTCCAACCAGATATCCTAAATTAATCTGGTCCCATTTGCCAGCATTTTATCTGTATCCCTCTAAATCCTTCCTAACAATATACCCATCCAGATGCCTTTTAAGTGTCATAATTGTACCAGCCTCCTCCACTTTCTCTAGCAGCTCATTCCATGCAGGCACCGCCCTCTGCGTGAAAAGGTTGCCCCTTAGGTCCCTTAGGACTCCCTCACCCACCCCCGAGCAAAAGACCTTGGCTAGTCATCTTATCCATGAGTAACATGATTATTATGTAATGTGTTATGCAGGAGGAAATGTTAAAATTGTGAAAGAATATTGTTTATTTTTCCAGACCTCGTCTCCACGTTCCCACTCCACACTCCACACTCATCCTCCTCCTGTCTAGATATTTTGACATTTATTTAAATTTCAGTATCAAAGGGTCACTGTCATTAATTTTATTGAAAAAAAAAAATCTGCAAATTTAAAATAAAAGTCGGGATTAAACAAGAGTCAGTATAATATGCTATTGGTAAAAATTAAAGTAAATGTACGTTTGCCAAGTTTAAAATAACTGATTCCATCAACAGTTACAAGAATGTCTGTCTTGCTTCCCTTCATAGATATGACCGCATTTTTTTCTAAGCGTCACATAACCACCAAAGGAGTAATTGATGTAGACAGCATTAACACATGGGAGACTTGACACGAACACAAAAGAGAAACTAACTGAGGGGTGTGAGAGCAGTATAGACTAAAGTAGCAATCAGAGTAGAAGGAAGCATGTGTGATTGGGAAACACCAGCGTAGTTAGTTGGACTGAATCACTGGTTTCTGTGTTGTAGGTTTTATATAGTTTAATTCTGTGTTGTAAAGAGAACTAAACACTACATTCCAGCACAAAAGTTCCCTGAAGTGATGACCAGATTTTCATTACCAGACTTTATTGACAATTCTGTTCATGTACGTTGAAATTGAAGATATGAAATGCTTATAAAAGAAGTTAACTTTTGTCAATATCTTTTCCTACTGGGAAAAGGAACACTTAACTCATCAGGACATCTATTAAATGGATTTGCCTGCTTGTCATTTAGAATTGTACTTTCTGCTTGCAGCCTGCAATCCTTTAAAGCTCCTGCAACAGCCACTAGTGAAGAGATGGAGAAGATTGACAGAGGGAGTGACACACCCTACCAGCCACCTGAGATCAAGTCCTTTTACAGAGTTTCCAGTAAATTAATTCCCCTGTTTGAGCATGTGGATCTTAAGTAGGTATTTTTAAACTGTCTGAAATGTGTATCACAGTCTGCTCCTACATGTGTGAACAACTCATTTTTCTAGAAGTGAAAATTCCTTTGAGGGCCGACCACATGTTCTCATTTTCATACAGTGAGCGACTGAGCAAAGAGTATGACTGACAAACAACATGGATTCGTAACTCTGTGTGGATCCATGAAAGGCACCTTATATATAGTGAAAGTTTTGAGAAGTGTTACTTCAGTATATGCATTATTCAGTCCAGCCGACGCAGTGAAATGTTGCCGGTCTTGCTGAATATTTCCAGCATTCTTAGTTTTTACTTTTGATTTCCAGAAACCCTCTGCTTGAAATGGGAGGAGCCACAATACTCCCTTGCAAAGCCTAGTCCTTTGGAATTGTTATACGTGACTGTTAGGAAAAGGAACATGGGTACAAGCTAGGAATGATGTGGAAAGTGAGGTTATGATGGTTGTTCATACAATGAATAACCAGATTCAGTAATCTTCTGACAGAGGCTGTTATAAGGAGGGCAGCTAGGTATTGGCAATAAAAATTCACCCAGCCAGTGGCACCCACATCCCACAAATGAATAAACAAAAGGGGGCATTAACTTTTCTTCTGCTTTGATGAATTCTCTCCATAGTGTCAGTTCCAGAATCTTATGAGCTTTTGGGATCTTCTTAAAGCGCGAGAGCTCCAATATCTTTCACTTTCTCTGAGCTTACAGGTAGATCAGAAATGGTGTTACGCAGAAATAATGAACACTAAACACAAAGGTTGAAAAAGAATCTATTGAGTGGCAACAGACCATTTGACCCACCTGGTTTATATCCGTTTTTATACTCTGCATAAGCTTCCTTGCCACTTCTCATCCACCCCATAGGGCTACTGTTCCCTCCTCCCATATGAATTGGTAATGCCACAATTTTAAAATTTTAATTCTTCTTTTCAGATCTCTCCATGACCTAATCCCTCCCTGTATTTCAAATCTCTATCATCTATTTTCCACAACCCCTGCCCAAACAAAAAAAAACACTCAGATTTTTGTGCACGTCCAATTCTGGGACATGTGTGTCTCTGATTTCCTTGGCCCTGCATAACCCTTTCAGCTGACTGGCCCTTGACTTTTTAATTACCTCTCTGTCCTTCATTACAATCCACCGTAAATTTGCCTCTTTGACCAAGCTTTTGGCCTTTTAGACTTAATATCTTCTTGTTTGTGTTGGTGTCAAATTTTGACTAGTACACTCTTATGAAATCCCTTCACATTTTACCATGTTAAAGGTATTGTATTAAATGCAAGTTGTTAAAGGATCAGTGCCATCTGCTTCAACAATTCTATGCAACAAGTCTTTCATAGAAGCCCATCATTCCTTCTCATCATAGCATGTGGCAGCCTCTTGAATGACTGTGGGATGTTTTCCTTTGTTATCACACCAAGACCATCGAAGATATTGGTAATTGGCTGAACTTTATTTTTGTGCATTTACTAACTTGCCTTGCATTTAAGGTTTAACTTGAAATTAGCCTGTATTCCACTTAGTACTGTGTACGTCACCATGACCTATTCTGCTTCGCCTTACTTGAAGCCAAAAGCATCTCCTAGACTTTTCTTCCTTTCTTTCATAATTGAGACCTTCAACACTGGTGACTAATCTCGGCCCTTCGCTGTCACGTTTTGAGGACTTGAACATTTCCCTTTACCTTTACCTGACCATCATATTTTACAACTTTGTGTTTGAATTCTATTGATTTGTCAGAACAGCTCCATATGCCGTTGGCTTGGTAAATTACTGCTCTACAGTAAATGGATATGATCAAAGTTGATTCCATTACCATTCCCAGATCTCTTTGCTTTATTTTGGCTGATGCTGCATTAATCTTCGAGTATAATGCTTTTTTTCTCCTCATCCTGTGCACAAACCTTTGCAAGTGTGGCAAATTTCATTTTCAGACTGCAGATTCTGTCTGCTTTGTGGTTTTAAGTAAACTAAGTTGCATAGATCAGAAATGATTGGGCTTCTGGATGCTTGGTTCTCCATTCGGTACATTTGCCCACTTTAATAACTTAACAAAGCCCCCTCTCCTCAACCTTATAAATTCCAGATAAGTTCCTTACCTGCCTCTAGCTCACTAACAATACCCACTGATCAAAGCTATATGACAGCTTTCACAAGGTACTTGATGAAAAGTCTTTTCAAAGTCTTGGGATACTAACAGCCACCTAGGGGATCACTTTCTCAAAACAAAGTCATGTAGATTGAACCAGCAGGATTGCCCACCCTGTGGTTTACACACCATCAGACTAAATTTTTGATGGATACTTCTCAGTTTTGTTGTTAATGATCACATAGTGCAATGACTGGCAGAATAATCTAAGATTAACTGGTTGACAGTTACTTTCAGCTTGGTTTTGACACCTTGGCGTATTAAATATAGTTTGAATACCAAAAAAGTCAAGATGAGATGTTTTTCTTTTAGCTTCCAGGCATTCCTGAGACACATCCTTTTAATCTGATCTTACTAAACAGTCTACACCCTTACACTGTCGATCACCACATAATTTTATTATGTCGTAATTTTGTATTCTAACATACCCTTCAGTTGCCACAAATGCTTTGAATTTTGTAATAAATGTTTCTGACATCCCCATGTGTACGCCTTATAAACTCCGAACGATGCTATTCAAAGCATTTCATTTTCTCCCACTAACTCACTTTTGTGGCCTTGAGACAAATTTATCATTTTGCAGTTAATTAAAGCCAGTTTTACGCTGGGGACTTCTCCACCAGGTTTCAAGATTACTGAAACCCTATTTCAGTTCAGACTAAATATGTAGAATGAGGCTCCCAATCTAGGCAGAACTCTGGTTTCAGTCTCAGAGACGTGGTAACCCACTGCACACTCTAATCTCCATACTTCTTTAAACATGCATCCAGATCCAAAATTATCTTCAGAAATAAAGAATTTTTTTTTAAACTTTCTTGGTAAACTGGTTTTCTTTGTGTTTAGAAAAGATGCTGTGCTTTCAAATACAGATGTTAGAAGTATCATCACAAATTATGTGAAGTCCAATGAACTGATAGATGACTATAATAAAAAGTAAGTAATACGTATGGTATATGGATATTAAATATGATGCATACTTTTTTGAAGTACATGGAAAGGCACAAACAATGGCTCAGAAAATTGACATAATTATACTGAGAAACTGCAGTAATTGGAAAAACCCGGGGATTCTTCCATCTGAGAGGCTCAAATGTGCCTTCTTTTTTGTTAACAGAAAAGGTATTATTAAGTAAGTCATTTGTCTATGAGGGTTCACTGATCAATGTTTCAAATGCAACGGGGAGAATCTAAAACTCGGATGCACATTTTCTTCTCATGTAAGAAAATGAACTTTTTTCCCATTTTTGTCTTCAAAATGTGGAGGAATTTATCTTCTTAGACGTGCCCGAATCTGGAATGCCCTGCACCAGAGAGCAGTGGAGCCTGGATAATTGAATATATTCAGTGCTGAATTTTGATCTGTCAGCGAGTTGAGATTTATGGAAGGATGGGTGTGGGCTCAGAACAACCAAGAAAGTCGAGTTGAGGCCCAGATCAAATCAGCTGTGATCCATTTGAATGATGGGGGTGAATGGCTCTGTCCTGCACCTATTTATTACATTCTTTTTTCAGTGTCTGCGTTAAAACCTTTAGTGGCCCACTCCTGAAGTATTTATTTTCATTCCATTTTATTATGGTTACTGTTGGAGTAATCCAATTATTCAGTCAGTCATTGAGATGAATTGACTTAAGTGCTTTGAACCATGAAGGCCATACTTCTGGTTTATAATGCCAGATCCCTCTGTGCATTGTCTGTACAATATATTTAATGTACTATAATCATGTAGCCATTGTATTTTACATGATTTGCTTATATTTTGCTTGACTTGATTATATTTCTTTTCAATGTAATGACTTGTATCTGATGCATGTTTCTCTAATAGACTGACTTCTTGTCATGTTGGTGTATTTTATCCCTAAATTATAATTTGTTGAAACAAAAACTTGGTAATTCTGCTGCACACTTAGAAAATCATGTTTTGTATTTCTGAGAAAGAGCATAAGTAACATTGTAATGTCTTCATGAATTATATTATCGTGTAAAATTAATGCCATGTTCCTGAAAGGGATAGATATCCGAATCAATTACTTTATGAAACTTAAAACTTAATTCTTTTGAAAATATCCTCATGTATAATGTTTGTTTCAATCCATAAGTGCATAAGTAGCCTTCTAAGATTTATGCATTTTATAGTGATCATTTCACTTTTGTGTCTTCCTCAGTTATGTCACCATTAATCCTACCCTTTGTGATTGCATATTGGAAAAATCTGAGTACCATAATGTAACTAAACTTACATGGGATGATCTCTTTTCCAGGTAAGCAGAGCCATTAAAATGCTGCATTCTGGCTGTGATTTTACCACATTGCCCACTAAGAAGTTTCAAAATTGAGAACAGTTTGCATCTATTTAAGAAAAAATAATTCTAAAATTGTAATCTGATAAAAAGATATGCTGCGACCAGGATGCAGATATAAGGAGGGATTACAAAAATCTTGACCAAAGACCTGAGTAGCATGTTGAGCAGATTATTGTGTGTGGAGAAGTGGAAAAAGCGTTTCAGAGCTCAATGCTAGGTGACTGAAGTCAAGTGCCACCATCGGGGAATGGGGATTGCACCAGAGGTTACAGTTGAGGTACCCTGAGTTCTCAGACACGTGGTATGTCTGAAGAAGGTTATATTGATTGGAGGAGCAAAGAACAAAGGGATTTAATGATGAGGAAAATATTAAATTTCAGGCCTTAAAATATCAGAAGCCAGTGTAATTAAGGAGTGTGTTTTAAAATGATTGATCTGTTTCCGAGATCTGTTCTTGTCATACTTCAATTTCAGGTCCTTCAAAAGCGTTAGAGAACATTTCCTAATTTTATTATTTAAATATTCTGCATTCAAGCATGCAAAGATAGCACCATTGCTACTATTGGAGCTGTCAGTAGTTGTCCTCATAGGGATTGACTTAATCAAATTTTAATCAAGACTTCTGCTCAGTCTGATTTGCTGCTGTAGTGAATTACAGCTAGAGTTTATTTTACAGGTGCCTCAAGAGCCTGCAGCAATGTCATGAAGTGACTTTTCCTGGACAAAAGCCAGTTGTTCGAAAGGGTCAAATTAAACCCATTGACATTGATGTAGCGCAGCGTGCATCAAATAAAAAGGTCAGTAGCAGAAAACCATTTACCAAAGGAACAATAATGGATACTTCATGGTGAGTTAGAATTTCGACAAGGGATTGTGCATTACCAGCTGAATGATTTATGTTTATTCACTGATTTTTTTTTTACTGTGTTAATGTTTGGTGATATTTGGAGTTTGCATTCAAAATTGAGAAATTTCATTACAATCCTTTCTTTACCGCTGTCATTTTTTTAAAATTTGAAGATGCCACATGAAGTTGGAATGGAAAAAGTTTTGGTATAGAATATAAAATGTAGAATACGCAGAGTTACTGTTTCTCAATCTTCAATACCTAAGATACATTTTATTCAGAGCTGTTTTGATTTGGAATGTGGGGCTTGTGTGCACAGGAGGACTGCTTAATTCTTGTGGAATTATTTAGCCTGAGGAATGAATACTGTCTGCATTCTAAGCATAGTTTGTCTAGTTTGTTTGTCCATCCCTCCTTTGCTGTTCTTACTGTATTGTTGTGCACTTTACATATATGGAGTTAAACTGTCGATGTAAAATGTCCCTTCAAGTATTTATCCAGTTCCCTTTGAATGGTATTTTTGAATGTTTCCATCACCCTTTCCTGACAACCACCTGAGTGGAAAAAAAAATTTCTTTGTGTTACCTCTACTTCTCCCGATCACCTTAAATCTGTGTTCTCCAATTATAAACACATCTTTTATTTACTCCATCATTCATAATCCTGAATACCATTAGCAATTCTCCTCGTAATGTCCTCTGTTGTTTCCTGACAATCACATGTTTTCCAATCTCCTAGTGTGTTTTAACCCTAGTCCCATTCTCACAAATCTCTTCTGCATCCTTTTTAAGGCTTTGACTTCTTCTCTGAAGTGGAGTGCCTAGAATTTAACACATTTTTTTTTTCTATTCATTCGTGGGATGTGGGCATCACTGGCTGGCCAACATTTATTGCCTGTCCCAAGTTGCCCTTGAGAAGGTGGTGGTGAGCTGCCTTCATGAACCGCTGCAGTCCACCTGCTGTGGGTTGACCCACAATGCCATTAGGGAAGGAATTCCAGGATTTTGACCCAGCAACAGTGAAGGAACGGCAATATATTTCCAAGTCAGGATGAAGAATGGCTTGGAGGGGAACTTGAAGGTAGTGGTGTTCCCATATATCTGCTGCCCTTGTCCTTCTCGATGGAAGTGGATGTGGGTTCGGAAGGTGCTGAGTGAGGATCTTTGGTGAATTTCTGCAGTGCATCCTGTAGGTGGTACACTCAGTGGTTGAGAGAGTGGATGCTTGTGGATGTAGTGCCAATCAAGCAGGCTATTTTGTCCTGGATGGTGTCAAGCTTCTTGAGTGTTGTTGCAGCTGCAGTCATCCAGGCAAGTGGGGAGTATTACATCAAACTCCTGACTTGTGCCTTGTAGATGGCGGACAAGCTTTGAGGAGTCAGGAGATCTCCAGGTTGAGGTCTCAAGTGTTTCATGAAGTTGTAGTGTAAGCTCCTTCTAACAGTCTTAACTTATCCTGCCACCTTCACACATTTCTGTATGTACATCCTCAGGATCCTCTTTCATGTATCCCTTTTAAAATTGTACCATTTGATTCATGTTACTGTTATTAAGGTTTTGGAGTAGATTTGTAGCTCGGGTTGTGGTTGGTTGGCTCGCCAAGCTGTTTCATTGTTGTTCTGCAGACGTTTCAGTTACTGTTATGTTCTTCTTACCAAAATGTATACAGTTTGCATGTCTCTACAGCAAATTTCATCTGTCAAGTGATCATTTCACCAGTCTATCAGTCCTCTGAAAGTATGTTACTGTCCTCAATTACTTACTGTGTTGTTGTCTGAACCTTTGAAATCATGCCCTGTATGCCCAAGTCTAGGTGAACAATTGTGCCAAAAAGAACAGAGGCCTCATTCTCACCCCAGGGGACACAGTTGTATAGTTCCCTCAGTCTGGAGAACAACCAGTCCTTGCTAATCTCTGCTTTTTATCTCTTAATCAATTTTGTATCTATATTGCATCTATCCCTTTAGTTCCATTGGCTTTATTTAGGCTAACAAATCTGTTGTATGCTGCTGTGTCAAATACCCTACACAAGTTTATATGAACGTGAATTGCATTATACCACTTATCTTCTTCATTCAGAATTCTTCAAAGACCAGGTCTTTGCCATGGTAAATGTGCGTTTTGCAACATAAGATGTAGGTCCTAAAGAGCCCCTATTCAAAATTCCTCTGATCTACTGATGCAGCAAAGGTTTATGGAAGTTTGTGTGTCGTGAGATTCTAAATTGATGTTCTGAGTACTAATTACACCATCCGTACAGAAGTGCACTCTGGAGCTAAACTTGCTGCTTTATCACCCTTTCTTATCTTCTCTTGGTGCCCCCTTTGGATTTTTCAATCCTAGTCATCCTATCCCAACTCATTACTACTCCCTACCTTTCGTCTTCTTAGAATCATAGAATCCCTACGGTGCAAAAAAAGGCCATTTGGCCCATTGAGTCTGCAACGACCCTCTGAAGAGCACCCTACCCAGACCCCGACCCCGACCCAGACCCCCACTCTATCCCCATAAACCTGTATTTGCCCCTGTAGCCTGCATGTCCCTAGACACTACAGGGCAATTTAGCATGGCCAATCCATCTAGCCTGCACATCTTTGGACTGTAGGAAGAAACCGAAGAACCCAGCGAAAACCCATACAAACATGGGCAGAACATGCAAACTTCACACAGACAGGCACCCAAGGCCAGAATCTAACCTGGGTTCCCAATGCTTTGAGGGAGTGGTTCTAACCACTGAGCCACCATGCTGCCCATCATCTTATTGCCATCATCTCAGGCTTTAGTCTTTCACGGTTGCAGTATATTTGTTTTCAGCTCTCCTAAAACTCTCCATATTTTATTCCTCACCAAGTTCAAGTTATTGCCCTAGAACTTGCTTGGTTGCACTGGATTCTGGTCTTCCAATGCCCCCATTTTAAGTTACATTTCTGCTTGTACAAAATCATGATTTCTTTGTTGTTATCCTTCACTAACCTTAAAGTTACCGTCTCAGCCTCATTTCTATTGCTCCCAGACCTCTCCATTCTTCCAGTTGTTGGCATTGGTGCATTACACCACTTAAATTCATTGTTGACTGTTGTGTTGTTAGCCATCTCAGTCTATAATCACCTTCCTAAACACCTACACCCTTTTGTGTTTCTTGCTTTATAATCCCCATGGACATTTGCCACCCAGAATGAGGCCATTCAGCACGTTGTGTTTGTGCTGGTCAAGAAAGATCTAACATTAATGTCATTTTCCAGCTTTGGTTGATAGCTCTAGGGCCTATAGCAAAGCAAGTGAAAATCTAAGTATAGCTTAATTGTTACATAAGTTTCGGTCAAGACCATCCTTTCAGGCAGTGAGTACTAGGCTCTTACCACCCTCTGAGTGAAAATAAATTATCCTGAACTCTCCTGTTAGCCTTCTGTCTCATGACTTAAATCTGTGCTGTCTGATTATTGATACCAGTAGGAGTGGAAAAGTGTCTACGTATCGACCGGATGTGTACTCCTCATAAATTTTTGCACTTCTATAAAGGTCCCTTTCAACCTTTGCTGCTTTAAGGAAACAACCCCAGCCTACTCAATCTTTCCTCTTATCTCAGACTCTCCAGCCCAGGCAGCACCTCCTCCTCTGTACCTTCTCTTGTGCAATCACACCTTTCCTATAATGGAATGACTAGAATTGTATGCAGTGCTCCAGTTGTGGCCTCATCAGTATTGTATGCAGTTTCAGCTTAACCTCCTTGCTTTTATACTGTATGCTGTCTTAAGCACCTTCCCTATCATTTTTTTTGAATTTAACGCTGTGTCATCTTTATGAATGTTTAAAGTACTTTGAACGTTAAGTGTGCTATGTAAATGCATGTTATTATTATACTACTGTTTATTGCTTTACATATTTTTGACAGGTAACTATTATTACAAACCTTGAAGCATTTGGTTTAGACCCTCAAATCTTGGGAAATGCCCTTCAGCAAAAAGCTCAGGCCAGTGTAACTATAAGTCCAATCCCTGGTACAAAGGGCAAGATGGCACTTCAGGTTCAAGGCAACCAGGTTAATCATGTTGCCAAGCTCCTAACTGGCAAGTACTTTTACTTCAACAAAGCATTTGCAGTAATATAACATATAGCTTTTTTCATTCCTAAGCCTGTAGGATTTTGTGTGATCTATGTTTTAAGAGTATGTGAAATTTACTTTATAATTAGCTTTAATGTATTCTTTTTGAAGTAGAATGAACTCTGCCAACATAATCTAGATGTATTGGAACAATGACCAAAGGGATTTTTCTTGAAAGTGTGTCATCATCTAGAATTCCCAAAAGACCCTGCACTGGTGCAGCCACAGCCAATGATATTAGCTGGCTGCAACAGGTCACAGAAGCGTCTGTGTATGGGCTGCTGATGATGCAGAGCTCCCCCTCCCAACCCCCCTGGAACAGTCCTCAGCTGCCATTCCCAATGAATGCCTTGCTATCCGCTCTCTCAGACTGTGGTGCTGCCTGGGGAGATCGAGAGCTGGGGCTGCTGCTGTACCTGTTTTCATACCGTTCTTCTCCTTGTCCAGGTTCCAGGCTCTTCATGAAGAGCCGTTGGAACAAAGCCACTGCTCACACCCCGCTGTGACAGCCACACTTCAAAGTTCTCACAAACTGACCTCTGTCACATCCGTGGAACTTTCAGTAGTGTATCCTTGAGACTGACTGCTGCTTTCTGATGCTTTAGAACAACGCTGGGTGCCTGTTTGCATGTACACTTTTTGTGTCACCTAGTGGTTGGCAGCCTTTTTTTTTAAAAGGAATAAACGTGATGTGAGAATTAAGATAACTTTATCTATCTTTATATAAAGCAAGGTTATGACTTGGGGTTTGCCATTTATGATGGGGCTCCATGCAAAGAGGCATAATTTTAATGTGAGCATGATGTTTGGCACACCTGCAAGTTTAAATTGATACTGTACCAATATTTAACTTATAAATTTTATTTAATTTATTATTTCCTGAGAAGTAGGCATTACTAGCATCTGTATAACTCATCAGTTAAGGATATCAGAGTGCACATTTGGGAGAAAGAGGAAGAGGAGACCTGATATAGTCTTTTTAACTTGTAAGCGGGTGGGGGGGATTGGAATTATCCATTGGTGAATTGAAGAAGCAAGTGATTTCATTATATAGCGCTCCCTCTGTATCTGGTCTATAAATCATATCCATAGTAAAGAATTGCATTAGTCATGGTGTGTGCCGCTATGGTTGGCTTTTGTGTGATATCTTAATTAAGTATTATACGATCAAGCATTCAGTTTGCATTGTCATCTTCATAACTAACACTGAGGAAAGCCATGTTCTGAGAATTGTTTTGATAGTTTTTTTTTGTGATCATATTGCAGAGGAATACAGGATCACTCCAAAGTATATTAGAGGCTTGGAAAAAGCTCCAAAATCTGGCAAGAAGAAGTGATGACATAGTTTCTAATAAGAATGAATGCAGTCACAGCAATAAAACCACAGCCACGACCTGTTCTTGTCAGTTTGTTATTTAATTTGTGATATCAGATTTTCTATCACTGCAGCACATGGCATCTCACATTGAGTTCTTCTAAAACTGTGCCAAAATGTGAATACTCAAAGGCTAAAGCCTGATGTCAATCTAATATACGCTGGAGTGACTCTAGATAGGACTTTGTTCGTCTTGGGAACATCTGAAGAAAACAACACTTAAGGTGAAAACCAGAAATCATCTATTACCCAAACTTACTGGATCAACAATAGGGTGTTGCTGCCGCAACACTGGACCTCAACATTTACCCTGTCATATTCTGCAGCAAAGTACTGTGTTCTTGTCTGGCAAAGAGGATCTTTCACACATGTGGTTGAAAATTGAATTCACCAATGCACCTCATAACCAGAACCTTCCCCTCACCCCATTTGCCCAGTTTCCTGTCTTCACAGCCATCTCTTCCTCATTCATCCTGAAACTGTCCATGTTGCACCTTACTTATGTTCAGCCTGCTTCCGACCTTCAGTCTCAATGCTCTGCATGGAGCAACTTGCCTGAGCATGATATACCAGCAGACATCTTTTTGGCCAGGAGTGAAACAGAGGAAGTCATTAACAAGTTCTTTGTGACAAACTTCATCTATCAAATTTCAGGCTTTCAAACCAGGGCCCCTGAGAAGCCCAACTGTATCACTGGGGCATCAGTGTGAATCCCTTACGCACTATTGATAGACACAAATATGATTATAGATTACTTATACAGACTAAGTGAACAACTAATGACCTTAAACTCAGGAGTGATTCTGTCACTTTTGGGAATTTGCATTTGCAAAATAAAATAATAACTAAACGTACTTAGCAGCAGGTTGCTATATATTTTTATGTTAAACTATTTTCTGAAGAAGCAACAGTTATTCCTAATTGGAAACTATGTGTAAACTCAGTGAGTAGGTAATCAATCACAGGAAGTAATTTGGATTAGCTTCTGGAACAATTAATTACATGGGAAGGCCTGAAGCTTCATTGTAGTGTATCTGAGTTATCCCAGTGCCCAAACAGCACATGGCAATGTAACATGTTGTGAGAAGGTCTTAAGAACCAATTCAATGTGATAAGATGATGTAAAAATGTGTTGACTTGTAATTAAAAATTGCAAGAACGAAACCTTTCATCACTTTGGTTATTAATGGGGTTTGAATATTTAAAATGTTCGTAGAATTTATATTTCAGTAAAATGAGAGTAAATGTAATTCAAAACTAAATTACAACTCTTCTAGTTTGTTGAGATCTTTGAAGTCCAAGTTTCAAATAACCAAATGCCCTTCCTCATATTCACCATTACCTTAACATAAAATAATCCTTGACCAAATTAATTTGGAATAGTAATTGAAAACAATGGCATTCCACAACATGCATGCAGTTGGCGTTATCTCATATACCTTAATTTGTTTTTATCTATTTGTTACATTAGATTTTTTAGGCAATCCCTCAGAATCAAGGAAAGCTTAAAAGCTGACTTCACATTCTAGGGCTCATAGATTGTAATCCTCAAGAACTCAATAACAACACGACAACATTTGTTTTACAGTCCCTAAGATGGGGAGGGACAAGACCGTGTAAAGTTTTGAAAACAAGAATAAGAATTTTTAAATCCACATGATGCTTGACCAGGAGCCAATGCAGGTCAGCAAGCATAGGTGTAATGCAGGAACTGGATTGCTGCAAGTCAAGACCATTGCCAGCATTGTTTTGGATGACTTCAAGTTCATAGAGACTGTTGAATAGCAGATCCTTACAAGCATAAGGAACATCTTAGAATCCTGTGGACAGGGGCCCCTGAACTGCCTTCTGAGTTTTTCACTCCATCTAAACACTGATGTTTCTTTTGTCTGTATGTGATTGGGTGGGAGGGTGGATAGAAGTGGTGTAGAGTTGTATGTATGGCTTTATACGTGTTTACCTACAGCTGGAATCTATTTATTTCTAATAAACAGTAATTCTTATTAAGTACAGAAACCTGGTCCATGCCTTCTGTTAACCTGAGTCTAAAAAGACTGGTCAATTGGAGAACTTGGCAACTTTTGTGATGACTCTGGGAATAGCGGGGCTTGATTTCCAATGTGCTACCCCAGTGAGGTGTGACATGGTACTAGAGGCAGAAATACTGGAGTAATTTAAGAAAATGTCAGTTCCTCATCCATCATTATCTTGCAAAATGGAGAGCTCTTGCCATCTTAGGATTCCACATGGATGTTTCTGGAGATGCCTATGCCCATGCTATAATTGCAATAGAATCCATCTTGGATAGTGTTAAGTTTGATACTTATTCCTATAAGTTTAATGCCTTGGCTGAATTTTCTATTAAAAGTCACGCTACAAAAAGGGAGTGTAATAGATTTTGAAGTGGCACAATGCGGGATGTATCAGTCCTTTATTTTGAGGATGAGTGAGTATTAATGTATTTCAGTACCTGTGCAGTAGCTTACAAGAAAAATGTCCAATCCTGTTCTTCTGGGTAGGACACTTAGTTCAACTGCTTCCTTTAGAGTAGCATCTCAACCTGCACCATTAGAGACTACTTAATTTGTGTCCTTCAACCCTTTTCAGTTATCTGTCCTCAGAATCATCAAAACCATCATGATTAGCACCTTCCCAGTTACGCCTTTTCTTATACATTTTGTTTTCTAACTTGCTTGAAAAGTCGATATTTGTAGTATAAGTAGAACATGAGATGTCACACTCACAGACCAGATGTTTAATGTGACTCAGTGTCCATGTGTTTTGCCAGTCCTAGTTTCCCATTGCTTCAGGCAATCAAAAATAGAAGCAATTCCTTATCTGATGGTGACCTCCTGATGTGACTGGGCTAGTTCCAATAGATATTGTTCACTCTTAGCAGCGTTTTTTTAAACTTTAAAGTGGGAGGGGGGGGGGGTGCGCATCTATTTAACTATTTAGGGGGTATGATAGCAAAATTGACAACAAAGATGTCAATTTATTCATCCTTTATATTATCGCCAAATCCTCAGCATGACAGCAAAGAACAATTTCTGACCCCTCGTCAACTAATTAATGGTATTGTATTTACACAGTTGCTGTGAATATCCCTACACTACTATGTTTAAGAAAACATTCCAAAACATTAAAATGATTACTCGCATCATTACAAAGCATGTAAGATTATTTAATGTCAAAAGTATATTCTCATTTTTGTAGACTGATTCTCACCACTTATGATCCCTTAACGTTTGTATTTTTCTCTCACGGTTTAATTGACCTTCATTTCCACCACAATACCCTTGTTTGACCCAAAGTAAATAGCCATAAGACTTGGATAATGTTGGAATTGGCTACATACAGCTAGCAAAGTCTCAACCTGAAATGGAATTTTGAGGTGGATTTTTGCTGTTTTGTTCTATATGATTTTGGCTGAGGTCAGATAAATAACTGCTTTATGACTACAAGACGTAATAGTTCAGGTCAGGTTCATAAGCAAAGATTATTGCATGAATGCTGATGCAATATGTACCTGTATTTACCCTGAAGCCAATCTTATCCCCTTTGTTGAACTGTCAGTTGACTCTAGAATTCTCAGTCCTGTTTGACCCTTGTGATCATATATACCTTTGCAATGGCAAATTCAAGATTGTGTCTCCAATCAGCAATTAGTATTCTCCACAGTGCCTCTGCACTAAATATCTAGGGTAAATCTAAATTTGTAAAAGATCCCTTCTCAAGGCGATAACCACATTCTTTTAATTTCAGGAAATAGTCTCTTGAGCCTTTGCACTTCGTCAGATGCGAGTATTCCAGATGTATCAAATACTTCAAAAAGATTTTTAAAACTTGCAAGATAGCTGCATCTTAAGGAAATTCTGCCACTTTTACATATCATCTAGTGGTTCTGTGGATCCTCACATGAATTACACATTCAGACAGGCTTTTACAAGTCTCTTGAAAGCACTACCAGGGGCAAATTTTGATTTCAATGAACATTATTTGTACCTATGCAGGATTTACAGTTAACTGAGGCAGCAATTTAGTTCTCGTCTCATTGGGTGATGGGTATATGTCACACTAATACTAGAATGTGAGGTCATAGCTTTAGGATAAGGGGTAACAGGTTTAAAACACTTGAGAAATTTTCAAAGGGTCATGAATCTGTGGAATTCACTGCCCTGGTGTGCAATGGATACCGAGACATTGAATAAATTTAAAGAGGAGACAGACAAGTTTTTAATTAGTAATGGGTTGAAGGGTCGGGGGAATGGGCGGGAAGATGGAGTAGAGATCAAGTTGAAATCAGTCACGATTATATCAAATGGCAGAGCAGTTTTGAGGGGCTGAATTGCCTGCTCCTGCTAGTTCTTATGTCTAATTTAAAATATTCTCATTTCAAAATCTGACTTTTCCTGACTCGGTCTTCTGAGATTGGGAAAAATCTTTTTGCACCTAGGAGAAGTTTGTACAGCTGTAAGAGGTAGAGAGGGACTGTCACTAGTTGGGTGGCTCTTTCAACTCCTATGATGTGCTGAATTGCCTCTTTTTATGTTGTCTGATCCAGACTCCTCCAACTTAATGGCACATACTCCCAAACCGGTGATTTCCTGTTAAGTACGTGTGTTTATTTGTTAAATGTACCAATCTTCTCTGTGGCCTTGCTAATGTCAGAGACACACAATTTTTTGCTTCCCCTTCCCCACTGACCTGGTTCCTGAACTAACCTTTCTTAAAGTCAGAAAATGCATCTCCAAATTAAAATATATCTGGGTTTTTCGTTACAGAATTTTAGTCTAGCTTTAGGCCTAGTTTTAAACTTAGTTCATTTCAAATTTATTTGCATTAATTGGAACCAGAAGTTTTATTATCACATGAATTAAATTTACCATTGATCTTGGCAATGAAATAATGAAGTTCCCCATGCCTAACTGAAAGCTTTGTATTTAGTTCTGAAAGAGCAGAAAATTTGTCATAAAGGACTCTTGTGGTGCAGTGGGAGTTTCCTTGTCTTCAGGCCA